CCCCCGACTGGGAGTGGCTGCGGCCTTGCTTGCTTGACCTTGATCAGATGTCCTCCCTATTCAGATTCCCTGCCGGTATCCGCCCTTCTGAATGCTTAAGGGAAGTTCCTTGTTGTGTATCCTGCATTTTGGGCGTTAACTACTTAGATGCAAGAATATAGAACATTGGGTCTGGAATGTAGACCATTGACAGCGAACTTCTGTCCTCTGGGGGTTCCTCCATTTGTGCTGTAAGCCTGTACGTATTTAAGGTTTCTTCCCTCTTTCAATAAACGGCATTCGACATCCAATCGTATGGATGATCCGCTGTCTCTTGTCTCTATTTTTTAATCCGCAGCCCTTCGCTCGGACATGGTGAACGGTTATCGGTAATGCGGGCATTACCGCTACAATTGGCGTCATGTGTGATTTGCTAACTCCAGGTGGTGGCCTCACCAGTGCCCCCATAGCACACCTCCACGCCCCTCTCACTGATTTTCTCCTATACCCACTTGCAATCTTATTTCTGAAAGTGTGAACTCCTCGAAGGTAGATGGGTGTCTATGCCGTGTGTTGGTCTCCGTCTCTGATACATAGTAGGTACTGAATTCTGTAATTCAGAGACCTGTTGGTGTTACCTTGGATTCTGACATCAAGAAAATGCCCAAAGGGTGAAGTCAAAGATAACATACAGTCTGCTTCTTTGTTCAAATGCCTTTACCAATAATAAGAAACTGTTGCTCTGTTGTTTTATTAGCAATAAAAAATTAGAAGTAGCTATGATTTGTCCTGCACTAACATGGGGATTAGCCACGTGTCACCCTGAGAATATATATAAACACACGCAGAGACAGACAGACAGACACACACACACACACACAGACACACACACACACACACACACACACACACACACACACACACACACACTTAGTTAAGTTTCTTCGGTAGCCACCTTATGGAAGAGGAAACAGTGACATTTCCTTTCTGTTCATGTCCGGGGACGAGAGGTCTTTGGGTGAGGTGAAAACACTCCCTTTGTCCAAGGATCCTAGTGTAGAACACATTTTTGAATGATCCTTTCAGCAAGGCTCAATTCCTGTGCACACTACATATGTTGATCTACCTGGTTAATAGACCAGGAGCCACCGGGCATCGAGACTGAGGTGTAGATCTGGCTTTCTAAGGTCATCGCAGGACAGGAATTTCAGGTTCCCTGGGCATGCTACAGCGGAAGAGTTTGCACTTTGGCTTTCGTTGACCGATCAGGCATGAAATAGGCGTTCAGTGCCGCTCGTTCAGCAGTGCCCAGACGAGAGCTTGGGAAGAAAGGGATTCCCATGTACTTGGTTACAACCCCTGGATCAACCAGGAAATCACCAGGATGGCAAACATTACAGACAGATGGTCCTTTGAAGCACAGTCTGCTGTCCCCAGGAAAAGGCTGGTAGGTAAAGTAGGTCTGCCAAGATAGTGAATTAATGTCCTTAAGTTGGTCTGAATACCCCCTGCTAAGTGAGAATGTCTATCTGTAGTCCAAAAATAGATAGCACCTCCTAGAACTCAGACACGTAGCCTAAATGAAGTTTTCTATCATGAGAAAGTGCCTTAGCAAATAAAACCTCGCCCCAAACACTCAAATGATACATGTTCTTAAGTTGATACTAACGTGGCAAATTGACTCTTTTATTTAATTTTAATTTGTTTTGTTTTGTTTTGTTTTGTTTTTGAGACAAGATTTCTCTGTGTAGCCCTTGCTGTCCCAGAATTCACTTTGTAGACCAGGTTGGCCTTGAACTCACAGAGATCCACTTGTTTTCACCTTCCAAGTGCTGGGATTAAAGGTGTGCATCACCACCACCGCCGCCGCCGCCGCCGCCGCCGCCGCCGCCGCCGCCGCCACCACCACCACCACCAGGCTCATTTTAAATTTTATTTTGGAGTGTTACATACACTTTCTAGTATAAGATGCAGGAAGAATGTAAGATCAGGGTGAGTCTCAGCCTGGAAAGTACTGGTGACGATGTCCTTTTCACACTCCAGGCTGACTGGAGAGACTCCTGGAAAGCAGTGGAGCTGGCGTGACATGGGCCAGTCACTGCAATGACCAGTGACGGGCAGTGACAGGCAGTCAGCTTTGCTGTTGTCAAAGGAGGACAGCCCTGTCCTCACACGGCTCTCCACAGCAGGTTCCAAAAGCTGCTCTGCAGAGCCTCTCACGGCGCCGCAGAGTGGAGCGAGCAAACAGCCACTGGAGGAAACCTCAGGGTCAGAAGAACGAACCCAGCTGTCTTCCTAAGTAACGTATCAGGCTCTCCAGAAAGAAATCAGAAGAGCGGTTGGTCTTTTCCTCGTGTAATTTGCTATCTGACCACCCCCTCTTTCTCTTCAGCTACCCACCCCTGATTCTTCATTCAGGTTTTAAAGAAATATGCTTTAATATCATTTATATGTGCAAATATCACTGTTTTTAAAGCACACAATATAGTGGCTTTCAGCACATTGGTAGAGTCATTTATCCATCCTAATTTTCAAATTGTTCTCATCCAGAAAGGAAACCACACGTCCATTAACTGTCAGCCTCACTCACCCCTCCATCCAGGCCCTGGCCACCACTCACATCCTTATGTCCACAGCCATTTGCATATGTTCCCTGGAGAAATTCTCATCACGATCCTCTGTCACTTTATATATTGGACTATTTGTGCTTTCATTGTTGAATTTAGGAGTTCTTTACATAGCTATAATATGCTTACATACATGTACATATATAAAACATATGTAATTGTTATGGACATGTAACAATTTGCTTATTTTATCCTGTTGACTATTCTTGATGATTTCCTTTGAAGTCCAAAATATTTTAATTCTGATATTCTTGATGATTTCCTTTGAAGTCCAAAATATTTTAATTCTGATAAATCCCAAGTTTAGTGTTTTTTGAATTTGTGTCAATTTTAATGTCACCACCGGGAAATCATTGCCCGGCACAACTCTCCTTCTAAAGATAATATGCCTTTACTTCTAACTTTTATTCTGTGGTTGACTCTGTATTCACTTTAATCTATTGATTGATTAACACAGAAGGCCAACCACGCCCATTGTTTCTCAGTTCTCCTTGTCTAGGTTACAGTTTACCAGTTGGGATGTTCAGACACACTTGTTTGCTGGTGTCCCGAGGCTCCACTGACATGGTATGAAATTGCCTCTATGGAGTTTCGTCCCCTCTCAGTTCCACGGCAGAGAGAAAGCCAGAGGTGCCAACTCCCAACTGTGTGCTTAATTCTTTCCACGAAATGCTCTTTCCAACAAAGCATGTCTCTGTCTGTTCCTTTGCTCCCCATTTCAGGAAGGGTGAAATTATATTCAGATGATACCAGGGCTGCTGATTGGGTGCTAGGCCACAATAGCTTTAAGGATTTCTGGTAATCGAAGTACAGAGTCATAAAATTAAGGTGCTCAATCTAATATATTCCTGTGTCAGTATACAAAGATAAGGACTATGACTACCACCAGCGGAAATGTACCTATCTCTATATTCAAGACACAAATTTGTTTTGCACCAGGTATCTGGAAAATCGCCTCTGCTTCCCTCCCATCCTTTGCTTCAGCAAGCAGTGGTCTCGCTACTGAATTGCTTTCTCCCTGCACTGTTTTTTTTTCTGTTGAAAATGAGGGCTGACATTTAGTTTCTCATCTCACCAGGCTGATGCTGTGTGTAGGAAAGGAAAGGCTGAACTAGGAAGGGAGACTGTGAAGAGCCCAGAGTGTCAGTGGTACAGACAGGTTTTCACAGTGTTGTGTCCTATATGGTCTGATTAAATAAGATATTAGCATTTTTAAGTACAGAAAAAAAAATACTGCCCCCCCCCCAACTTTGAGAACACTAAACACAGAGAAGGGACATTTGTGAGTTTTCCACCTCGCCTGTGAGGATAGTCTGGGATTAAGCAGTTGAGACCATCTCTAAATTGTTTCTTTTGTTTGACTTTTGCAAACTGGTCGCTCATTGTCTCGTCCCTGAAGCAAGGCTTTTACAGTAGTGCTTGAAAACTCAAATTTTAAGGAAGGAACTTGGTGTTGATGGTATTTTACTCTTTTGGGGGGGGGCGCCACGCAGCTCCCAAATAAATCACACGCAGAAGCTTAGTCTTACTTATGAATGCCCAGCCTTAGCTTGGCTTAGTTTCTAGCCAGCTTTCCTTATCTTAAATTATCCCCTTTACCTTTTGCCTCTGGGCTTTTCCAGTTCTCCTACTTCTGTAAATATTGCTCTTTCTCCGTGGCTCGCTGTGTGGCTAGGTGGCTGGTCCCTGGAGTCCTCCTCCTCTGGCTCTTAGCTCTCTCTTTCCGGATTTCTCCCTCTGTCTATTCTCTCACCCTGCCAGCCCCACCTATCCTTTCTCCTGCCTTGCTATTGGCCGTTCAGTTCTTTATTAGACCATCAGGTGTTTTAGACAGGCACAGCAACACAGCTTCACAGAGTTAAACAAATACAAGGTAAACAAAAGTAACACACCTTGAAATATTCTACTACAGGAACTCAGTCTGTCCTCTGAAAATGAGCCGGTATCCACTGTACAGAAAAAATACGTAGGCATATTATCTAATCGTTAAACAGAGTGCTGATGGCCACATGACCCACTTTAGGTCTGGCTCGTTAAAAGCAGCTCCGAGAGTATGCTATGCAGGTCTCTGAAAAGGCCTCTGTTTTCATTGTGGTGATTTTATGTTCTCTTCAGTCTCCAACAGTTGAAATCACATGAGCCAAAAGACTGTATCTCCTGAACCTGTAGACCCGTGGGTATGGACATCTCAGCTCTCATCAGGGAATCTTAACTCCTGCTGTAGATGGCAATACTGCGATCTGCAACTGGGTGTTGTCAAGTAACACCGCGATCCGCAACTGGTCTTCATGCAGAGAATTAAGAGACTGCGTGGTGCTCAGCCCTAAGTGTGACATCTGAATCACAGCCCTCTCCCCAAGGCGCAGGGATCTTCGAGGGACCAGCCAAAGTCAGCGGGTGCCTTCAAGAAAAGTGTTCTCTGGATGGAGCAGGACAGTTGCACACGTCAACCTGGGACAACGGGGACAGCGTGCAGAAGACCTGAGCAAGCTCAAGACAGGTAAAAATCCCAGCATGCGGTGGGAATCGGGCACAAAGCTCCTCACCAGTAGCTGAGGAGCTACTGGTGATTGATAGTACTGGGAGAGGAAGAGTCAGATTTTCTTTATGGTGTAACCCCTGGTATATCAATCACACTGCAGGGCAGACCATACCCAAGGGCAACCCAAATTGGACGTGGTGGGTTTAAAAGAGAGGGAGAGAGAAGATGACGGTAAGGAGAGGTAGAGGCAGCCGAAGTTGAGAGAAGAGCGGTGAATTTGATCAGATGCGTTGTGTGAAATCCTCAGAATTAATAACAATGTTATGTAAAAGAGAAAGCAAGCCCAGGAGGTGCACAGCCAGAAGTAGGGTCTGATAATTCTGTCACCTTTTGTTACATGGTGGGAAATGTCCTAGGTTGCGTACATTAAGCTTTGAAGTCTCTGAAAATCCTCAGTGGGTGAACAGCTGTGGATGCCACTGTCTATTCTGACACGGGGTGGTCAGAGGAGCCAAAAGGGAAGCATTGCAGTGAGCGAGTTTTCCAAGGGTCCCCAAGACTGCACAGTGCAAAACTGTGTGCGGGGGACAGGGAGGGCTGGTGTCAGCTCTCTCATCCTTCAAAGTGAGTGGCCTCACGTTTGTGTATCTCTCCTCCTTTTCATTTGTTTAACATTTTTATACACACATATAAGATATTTTGAGCCGGGCGGTGGTGGTGCACGCCTTTAATCCCAGCACTTGGGAGGCAGAGGCAGGCGGATCTCTGTGAGTTCGAGGCCAGCCTGGGCTACTAAGTGAGTCCCAGGAAAGGCGCAAAAAAAAAAAAGATATTTTGAAAAAATTCACTCCCCTTTCCCTCCCAGAAAAAATTCTTCCCCTATTCCCCCAACTTCCTGTGCTCTGTGTTTTGAATCCACTGAGTTCCGTGAGTGGTGCCTGCATGCACATGGGTGTAGGACCATCTCCTGGAACACAGCCTCTTACGTTCTTCATTCCTGCAGGAAGGTGCCACTACCTCCCACAGCAGCCAATAGCACCTCAGATGGGGTGGGACTTTGGGACTTGCTGCCTCCCTCGGTCCATCCTCGCTGCGATTTGGATAGGCTTGAGCTTGCACAGGTCTTGTGTGTGCTGTCACAGCTGCTGGGAGTTCATGTGTGCAGCTGCCCTGCTGTGTGTGAAAAACACGACTTCCCTGTATCCTTCCACTGACTCTGGCTCTTACAATCTTTCTAACCCACTCCCCGATCCCCAGAACCCCTACACCCCAGCTCCAGCTTCTGCAATGATCTCTGAGCCTTGTGAAGACCCGTGAGACATGAGTGTCCTGTTTGGGGCTGGTTGAATGACCTTGTTTTGAAAAGCACAGTTCCCACGGGCAATCACGATGATTTAGATTTGCTTTTTTTTTTTTCTGCTGAGAACTTATGAGTATTTAAGTTCATATTTTCTGTCTGTATAAAAACACCAAGTTCCTTTGGCTTACTCAGTATTTATTTAGCATTTATCTTGTTTAATGTCAGAGTATCTCTTTCATTGGGCTTTACCTTTGTTTGGGGGAGTCCATCACCCTTGGGTGCCACAGTTTCTTCTCTGCTTGTTTCTTTGTCTCAGAATACTGGGGCACAAGAGGGTGGGTCTTGCTACCCTTTTGGCCCTCATTGCCTCTATTTTCTGTTACCCAAGGAGCAAACCATCAAAAATTAATGTTAAGATAACAAATATCTCCGCTATTCAAGACAGTAGCAGCAATAATAATTTTTTCATGGACTTTGTGCACTTGTACGTATGAATTATTCATGAGGTACCATTTGGGGTAAAAGTCAGCTCAATGATGAATTGGAGCCAGCACCAGAAAAAATTGCTAAAGAAAGCTGTCAGAGCATAGCGCATCAGAATTTAGTCATGCCGTTAGAAAAGGGCCTCACGTCTCTGTGCTTGAATTCAAATTCTTCAAATTTGTAAGTTAACATTTCAGAGCATACCAATTATTTTTTAAACTGGCATCAAGCTTTGTGTTGAGTTATTGAAAAGAGAAGCTGGGTTGGGGTTTTAGTTCAGTGGTAGAGCGCTTGCCTAGCAAGTGCAAGGCCCTGGGTTTGGTCCTCAGCTGGGGGGAGAGGGAGAGGGAGAGGGAGAGAGAGAGGGAGAGGGAGAGGGAGAGGGAGAGGGAGAGAGAGAGAGACTGACTACTAGAGATTTTCCAGGAAAGAATGTACAAGAATTAGTTCACTTTTCTTTCCCATGCCCTGTGCAGGGAGGCAGCCAGCACAGGACAATCACCCACTTAGACTGCCAGGCATACAGTTAGCCACTCTCCAAGACAGTGTGCCATATGGGAATGTTTCTTTGGCGACAGGAGCAAAGAGGTGCCAGTCACACACGCTGTCCTGAGAGGCTCTCCATTCAGACACTATCTGCCTAAGAGCTTCAGTGACCTTGGGGGTGGGTGGTGTCACCAGCAAAGCCTCCAGAACTCACTTGTCTCTAAACTGAACAAATTTGGCTTTGACCCAGGCCCCCGAAGGGAAGGATGCCGGGAAAGATGCATTTGAAGTTGTAGGGATGACCACAGCTGCTCTGAGTTCACGTGTGCAGCAGCTCTGTCTTGTCCAGATGTCAGCACCAACGGTTCCCACCTCTCCTCCCCACCCTCCAGCTCATGCATGCTTTTCACCCTCTCTTCCACAGTGTTCCCTGAGCCTGGGCAGGGGTGGGGGCTGGGTGGGGTGATACAGATGTCCCACTTATGGCTGACCACTCAACATTTGAACTGCTATATCCCCGCATTAACAGTAACCCTCCATAGTAAGGACCAAGGACGTCTCTGACCAAGGTTGGGAGCAGCACAGATCACAGACCTAGGATACAAGCATGAATACTTAGAAGGCAGTTTGACAATGTGACTGTTTAACAAAGCAACATCAATAGGTTCTCCCCTAGGGCCTATGGCTTTCTTAGCCATGGGTTTTGACTATGTTTGCAATACCAGGCATGAATTGCCTCCTGTGAATCAGGCCTCAAGTACCATCAAGAGTGTGGTTGGTTTCCCCACCCACAGTCTTGCACATCTTGTTACACACATGTGCATATGGGCAACACTAATTGGACTTAGTGGGCTATTAAAAAAAGACAGAAGAACATGAATCTGAAAGAGATGCTTTGGGGAGGTTGGGAGGAGCTGGAAGGAGGGAATAGGTAATAAATGTGACTAAGACAAATGGATAAAATTTCAAAAACAGGACAGGATTCAAGGTCATCTTCCTTGGCAACAGGGTAAGATGGAGGTCAGCCTGCACAACACCCTGTCTCAAAAAGCCAAACAAACAAAAATCATAAATAGATAAATACTTAGCTATTATGTTTATAACTTAGTCATGAAGTGAACAAGATTTTTATTAAAAAGGAAAAAGGGAAAGGCGAGGAAGCCACAGCCATTGAAGTCTTGCAAACTGTGACTCCCTTTCTGAGTAGTTCTTGAGATAGCAACTCTTTCCAGAAGTCCACAGAATGCCTGAGAAAGGAATTCTGCAGTGGCTTGTAGACAACTCTTATTGAGTGGTGAGCGTGGGCCCCCTGCAAATTGGGAAATGCGAATATATGCCAAAGAGGAACCAGCAGGGGCAGCGACATGCTTTCCACCCCGGAGCTCCAGTTGATGGACTAGGAGAAACATTCTTGAAGACCCACAGTCCAACAGTCACAGAGGGAAGGCATTGACACAAGACTTGTCTCAACTGTGGGGAGTTCCAGCGCTAAAAGCTTCCAACAAACCAGGTTCGAGCCACAAAAGCTGGTGTCTCTTCTCATGTCCTTTATTTTAGGGTTTGCATACTACTGCTTCAGAAAAAGAAATGACTCTGAAATAGGATTTCTCAGACGATCACAGGATGGCCTTTCTGGTAAGAGTTTCTGGCCTTTGAAGGCACCAGGCATGCAGCATGCATGTGACACTCATCCATACATACAGATAAAGCGTGTACATACATATAATAAAAACAAATAAATCTTTTTTTAAAGTGGCAGCACATGAAAACAGGACCTCCATCAGAGAGAATGACCAAACAGTAGATGAGGAGATGGCTGTGCCGTGATGGTTAGTCACTGAATCATTGTAAGTTAAATCCACAACGGGATAACACAAATGGCTAAAACAGAGGAGTAGCTACAGCTCTGTAAGGAGAGGCTGCAGAGAAACAGCCCCTCAGACACCACCGGTGGCTGTGGACATGGCACAACCAGTGTGGAAAATGGCTCATCCGTTTCTCATGCCAAACCTACCCAGCAGTACCACTTCTATACGTTTACCCCAGAGACAGCAAAAAAAATAATGTAAACATCAACTCACAGATGAGAATATTGATGACATATTTATTCATAGCATCCCCAAGCTGGAAAATTTGCAAATGTCTTTCAGTAGTTAAAGAAATTATGTCATACACACACCATGGAATATTACTGGGCAATAAAAAGGAGACTACAGGCAACGTGATATTGGTACACACAACACAGTAGGTAGATGAATGTCCTCATTTTATATATTCTGCAGTTCTTGGAACCCGTGAACATGTTGCATTATACAGTTAAAAGTTCTTTTTCAAATACAAGTAAAGGAAATGGATCTTAAAATGGGGGAGGATGATCCTGTATGATTTAGAGTAATCTAGTCTAATCACACGAATGCTTAAGAGAGATTATTTTCTCTTGCTGGAGTTGGGGACAGTTGGGACATGAAAAGCCAAAGGCTCCCAAGCATGAAGGGCCTGCTGCTAGAGGTAGTTCACCTTGAGCATTAGGAGGACGCACGCATGCACTCACGCATGCACGCACGCACGCACGCACGCACGCAGCCTCTCAGGGCAAAGATCCGCTTCCTGCTGACAACTGCCCGGAACAGGGACTCCTGTCCCACTGCTGCGGGACACTGCCCTCGCCAAGGGCCCCGGTGAGCTCGGCAACAGTTTCATCAGCAAAGCCTCCGAAGGTGTCTCAGTGTGGGCCCTGAGACAGTCTAAGCAGACAGCCCGGTTGGGCCACTCTGTACCCAGGACAAAGCTGTGTCTTTCTGTTGGCAGGAAAAGAATGCATGCAACATCTGGGGTGGGTCCCAGGAGAAATGTGCCAAGAAGGAAGAAAAAGCCTCAAAAGGTTATATACTGAATGATTCCATTTATATGATGTTCTTCAAATGGCAAAATTATACAGATGGAATGCAGATTCATTGTTGCTGGAGCCTGGGGGAGGGGAGGGATGGCAGCATAATGGATCCTTGTGTTGAGGGAATTATTCTTTTCACTTGGCTGCAGTGTGGCTAAATAAATCCACATATGTGACAAAACTGCACACAGGTAAATGTGTACACATACCTTCGTACATACATCTGTACACAAGTGCTCACCATTGACTGTGGGATTCCAATTTTTTCCCCCAATAATTTCCCAGTCTCAAGATTTTTCACTTAAGCACAACTGCGCCATTCCTCTGGTCAGTAGAGGTAACATATTTATGATTTCTTAAGACTGGGATGGGAAGTTTGGGTGGGCTGTCATTTAGATAAAATGCAGTGTGTTAGAGTCTGTAACATGTGTGCAGGTGTGTGAGGATTCGGCTGTCACTCTCTGTTGTGACCCATGCAGGCTTTCTTCCTGACACTTCAACTCTAGGTCCGTTTCCCAGGCAGACTTCCAAAAAAGGCAGCAGCTTTAATGCATGTATTAAATATCATTACTGAGTAATATAATCATTTCTAGGTTTTGTTTGCTAGGATACCTAATTTTTGTCCACTTGACACAAAGTAGAGTCACTTGGAAAAAGAGAACTTCAGTTGAGGAATTACCCAGATCATATAGGCCTGAGGGCACGTGTGAGGCATTTTTTAAAAATTGTTAAATGATGTTGGAGGGCCCAGCTCATGGAAGTCAGTACCAACCCTAGGTGGATGGGTCTGGACTTTCATGAGGAAGGTAGTTGATCTAGCCAGGGAAGCAAGTCAGTTAGTTAGCAGTGTTCCTCCATAGTCTCTGCTTCAGTTTCTGCCTGTGAGGCATTTTCCTGCTTGTTAATTGAAGTAGGAGAGCACAGTCTGCTGAGCCCTGCTACCCCAGGACAGGTGGCCCTGGGATGTATGAGAAAGCAGGCTGAGCAAGCCATGGGGAACAAGCCAGTGAGCAGCACCCATCCACGGCCTCTACATCAGCTCCTGCCTCCAGGTTCCTGCTTGAGGTCCTGCCCTGGCTTCCCTGGATGATGGACTCTAAGCTGTAAGATGAAAGAAACACGTTCCTCTCCAAGTTGTGTTTGGTCAGAGTGGCTTACCACAGCAACAGAAAGCGAACCAAAGCATGGGCTGATTTTAATATTTACCTAAATACTAACTTTGGGCCATGCATTATTTCATGTATTCAATCCATTGGTTGGAAGCATTGCTCTTTACCGTCTTGAAGAGTAAATTAATTAGTCCTTCAAATAATGACATTGGCTTGTGATGTGTGTATACATTTCAGGTTGTATTAGCAAGAGCTATGTATGCGAACCAAGTCTCCTAATCAGTTTGCTTAGAATATGGCATTGAGGTCACATTACATTAGCAAGGGGAAATGGAAAGTAGATTTAATTAACTTGATAATGTAAACTAGAGTAAACAAATGCTGCTTCAATGATCTGATTCCTTGAGATGAGACTTCAGGGGCATGAATGACCTGAATTACATTATTATACTGTTACCGAATTCTCCATTGCTAATATAGACAAACTCTGATTAGGAAGCCAAATTGCCACATTAAGTAAGTTTTTCTGTATATCGTCTGTCTCTCTATCTACTCCTTATCATCTTTCAGTCTATCTGTCTTTATGTCTATTTGAGCATAATATTGCTGTGAAGTCCATACTGGACTGAATATTTTTACTATTCTTAGAAAGGTTTGGTTGTTATTTGCTTGTTTCCGACAGTAATAGCTCCAGACTTCCCATTTTGATGGTTTGGAAAATTCTAGAAAATGTTTGGCTGTTAATGCATAGAACCAATTGTTTGCTTTGAGGATAGGCCCTATAATCCTCCCTCAGTATCCCTGAGGGATTGCTACCAGGACCCTGCAGCTGTGAAACTGTATAGATGTTCAAGTCCCTTGTATAAAGGGTATTTGCATAGATTCTAGACACACCTTGCTGAACACTTTAAATCACCTCTGGATTTCTTGTGTATGTGTAAGTGCATGTGGTGTGTGTGTGTGTGTGTGTGTGTGTGTGTGTGTGTGTGTGTGTGTAGAGGTGGGTGTGATTGCCTATGCATGTGCTTGTGGAGGTCAGAGGTCAACACTGGAAGTCTTCCTCTATCACTCCTACCTTATTTTTGTTTTGAGACAGGGTCTCTCAGTGAATCTGTACTTTGTCATTTTGGCTAGTCTAGTAGGTAACCACCTGGAACTCTGTCTCTACACTCCTAGCAAGACGGTTACAGACCTGCCACACCCAGCTTTCACGTGGGTGTTGGGGGTCTGAATTCAGATTTTCATGCTTGTGCATGGAGTGTGCCTACCCACACCATCCCCCAGCTCCCAAAGAGTAAAATATAAATGCAATATATTGTTTAGTGAATAAGGGCAAGGGGCTGGTCTGGACATGCCCAGTACAGACGTACAGTTTCTGTCTTTCAAGTATTTTCAACCAGCTGTTGGCAGAGAAGGAACTCTTGGGTGCAGAATGCAGACTCACAATCCAGAAGAAATTCTTCTGCATCTGTGATAATTCCTTTTTGTTTCTCAAGGGCTTTTGTGGTGGACATTCTACAGCTGCTGGATTTTAATGGTATATTTTATATATATTTTAGTGATACCTATGTAGCAGTCCTTAGGCTTGAGTGGGGCGGCCTGCTTATAAATGTTACTTCATTTCCATACCTGCATTTGCTCAGTAAGCATGCTTATGAGTGAGGTGCTGGGATGTGTATTTTGTTATTGTTTGTTTGTTTGTTTTTCGAGACAGGCTTTTTCTGTGTAGCTTTGGAGTCTGTCTTGGAACTCACTTTGTAGAGCAGGCTGGCCTCGCCTCAAACTCACAGAAATCAGCCTGCCTCTGCCTCTGCCTCCACAGCAGGGACATGAGAAAGAGACAACAGCTCCTGAGTGTGGTTCCTGCACTTAGCCTTAGATGCTGTAATTCTCTCCTGTCCGCTGCACTCTGAGGAGCTGGAGAAGCATCTGTGTCCCC